TACTTCTGAAACAAATAATGCAACATATGTTAAGAAAAAAGAAAAAGAAGAAGATAGCAGGAGGGGAAGAATGAAGGGGAGTAAGTCAGAGGGGGAGACGAACCATGAGAGATGATGGACTCTGAACAACAAACTTAGGGTTCTAGAGGGGTGGATGGTAGGGGGATGGGTTAGCCTGGTGATGGGTATTAAAGAGGGCACATTCTGCATGGAGCACTGGGTGTTATGCACAAACAATGAATCATGGAACACTACATGAAAAACTAATGATGTAATATATGGTGATTAACATAACAATAAAAATATTTTTAAAAATTTATCAGCCTTAAAAAAAATGGGGGCGCTCACTGCTGGAATAAATGAGGCAGAAGAGAGAATTAGTGAAATAGAAGACCAAATGATGGAAAATAAAGAAGCTGAGAAAAAGAGAGATAAACAACTATGAGATCAAGAGGGCAGAATTCAAGAGAAAAGCGATAGCATAAGATGAAACAATATTAGAATCTTTGGGATCCCAGAAGAAGAAGAAATAGAGAGAGATGCAGAAGGTATATTGGAGCAAATTATAGCAGAGAACTTCCCTAATTTGGGGAAGGAAATAGGCATCAAAATCCAGGAGGCACAGAGAACCCCTCTCAAAATCAATAAAAATAGGCCAACACCCCAACATCTAACAATAAAACCTATGAGTCTCAGAGACAAGAGATTCCTACAATGGTAGAAACATTAGACTGGCAACAGATACCTGGCAGGCCTGAAAGGACTGGCATGATATCTTCAGAGCACTAAATGAGAAAAATATGCAGCCAAGAATACTATATCCAGCTAGGCTGTCATTGAAAATAGAAGGAGAGATAAAAAGCTTCCAGGACAAACAAAAACTAAAGGAATTTGCAAACACGAAACCAGCCCTACAAGAAATCTTGAAAGCGATCCTCTATGCAAAGAGAGAGCCTAAAGCAGCATAGACCAGAAAGGAACACAGACAATATACAGTAACAGTCACCTTACAGGCAATACAATGGCACAAAATTCATATCTTTCAATAGTTACCTGAATGTAAATGGGCTAAATGCCCCAATCAAAAGACACGGGCTATCAGATTGGATAAAAAAACAAGACCCATCGATATGCTGTCTGCAAGAGACTCATTTTAGATCCAAAGACAGCCCTTGATTGAAAGTCAGGAGGTGGAAAACAATTTACCTTGCTAATGGACACCAAAAGAAAGCTGGGGTGGCAATCCTTATATCAGACAAATTCGATTTTAAACCAAAGACTGTAATAAGACATGAGGAAGGACACTATATCCTACTCAAAGGGTCTAACCAACAAGAAGATCTAACAATTGTAAATATCTATGCTCCTAACATGGGATCAGCCAATTATATAGGCCACTTAATAACAAAAGCTAAGAAACACATCGACAACAATACAGTAATAATGGGGGACTTTAACACCCCCCTGACTGAAATGGACAGATCGTCTAAGCAAAAGATCAACAAGGAAATAAAGACTTTAAATGACACACTGGACCAAATGGACTTCACAGACGTATTCAGAACGTTCCATCCCAAATCAACAGAATACACATTTTTCTCCAGTGCCCATGGAACATTCTCCAGAAGAGATCACATCCTAGGTCACAAATCAGGTCTCAACCTGTACCAAAAGATTGGGATCATTCCCTGCATATTTTCGGACCACAATGCTTTGAAACTAGAACTCAATCACAAGAGGAAAGTCGGAAAGAATTCAAATACATGGAGGCTAAAGAGCATCCTACTAAAGAATGAATGGGTCAAACAGGAAACTAAATAAAAATTTTTAAAAATTATGAAAACAAATGAAAATAAAAACACAACTATTCAAAATCTTTGGGATACAGCAAAGGCAGTCCTGAGAGGAAAGTATATAGCAATACAAGCCTTTCTCAAGAAACAAGAAAGGTCTCAAGTACACAACCTAACCCTACACCTAAAGGAGCTGGAGAAAGAACAGCAAATAAAGCCTAAACCCAGCAGAAGAAGAGAAATAATAAAGATCAGAGCAGAAATCAATGAAATAGAAACCAAAAGAACAGTAGAACAGATCAAAGAAACTAGAACCTGGTTCTTTGAAAGAATCAATAAGATTGATGAACCCGTGGACAGACTTATCAAAAGAAAAGAGAAATGACTCAAATAAATAAAATCATGAATGAAAGAGAAGAGATCACAACCAAGACAAAAGAAATACAAACAATTATAAGATCATATAATGAGCAACTATAGGCCAGCAAATTAGATAACCTGGAAGAAATGGATGCATTCCTAGAGATGTATCAACTACCAAAATTGAACCAGGAAGAAACAGAAAACCTGAACAGACCTATAGCCACTAAGGAAATTGAAGCAGTCATCAAAAATCTCCCTACAAACAAAAGCCCAGGGCCAGATGGTTTCCCATGGGAATTCTACCAAACATTTAAAGAAGAATTAATACTTATTCTTCTGAAACTGTTCCAAAAAATAGAAATGGAAGGAAAACTTCCAAACTTATTTTATGAGGCCACCATTACCTTGATCCCCAAACCAGACAAAGACCCCATCAAAAAGGAGAATTACTGCCCAAGATCCTTGATGAACATGGATGCAAAAATTCTCACCAAAATACTAGCCAGTAGGATCCAACAGTACATTAAAAGGATTCTTCTCCATGACCAAGTGGGATTTATCCTTGGGCTGCAAGGTTGGTTCAACATCCACAAATCAATCAATGTGATACAATACACTAATAAAAGAAAGAACAAGAACCATATGATAATCTCAATAGATGCAGAAAAAACATTTGACAAAATACAGCATCCTTTCTTGATTAAAACTCTTCAGAGTATAGGTATAGAGGTTTCATACCTCAATATCATAAAGCCATCTATGAAAAACCTACAGCGAATATCATTCTCAATGGGGAAAAATTGAGAGCTTTCCCCCTAAGGTCAGGAAAATGGCAGGGATGTCCACTATCACCACTGATATTCAACATAATATTAGAAGTCCTAGCCACAGCAATCAGACAACAAAAAGAAATCAAAGGCATCCAAATCAGCAAAGACGAAGTCAAACTCTCACTGTTTGCAGATGATATGATACTTTAGGTGGAAAACCCAAAAGACTCCACCCCAAAACTGCTAGAACTCATACAGTAATTCAGTCAAGTGGCAGGATATAAAATCAATGCACAGAAATCAGTGGCATTCCTATACACCAACAACAAGACAGAAGAGAGACAAATTAAGGAGTCGATCCCATTTTTTGGGGGGGGCACTTCATTTTATTACAGCTTTTTACTCTTGATCTGAGTTTAGAAATGTACAGTGTCAAATTCTGTTTTATTAAAGGAAACTAAAATTTTGAAGTTACCTCCACTGTTATACATATGATAGCAACCCATACCTTATTTCCAATTTAAACAATTAATAAACTCACTAAGACCTGTATTATTGTTCACAAAATGTAATATATGCAAATTAACTTTGCTAAATAAGAAAATCCATTTCAAATATCTTCAAGACTCAAAAAGAACACACACAATTACATATTTTTAACATTTTATTAGGAATAATTCCAAATGGGTTATGAAGAAAACTTACTGAGTTTGATGAGTTTTCCAAAAACTCTTAATGAAGATATGTTCACCGATAAACAAAACATCAGCAGAACTGTCATATACTGGGCAAAGAGTCAGGCTGATACCAAAAAGCAACATGCAACATAAAAAACATACAATATAAAGGAAGACAATCTGCTGGGTATTAAAAATCATCTCAATATGAACTCTTTGCAACCAGCACAGAACCTAATTAGCTATCAAATCCAAACCACACTAAGGTAAGCTTGGCTGATGAAAGCCAGGATTCAAGAAGGGGGGTGGAAATATAAGTTCCTCAGTGCAAGAGATCTGAATAGTGTTTTGGAGCATTTCCCTGGCTGGTACAAGCAGTATTAGAAGATCTTTTTGGCAAGGGAGAAAAATAAATACAAATGGAATGCTACATTTTTTAAATCAGCAGCCTGTCCCAGGAATGATAAAGGTGTCAGTAAAGTAGCAAGGAGATAACTTTAAAACATTATTTCTCATGGGCTCAAAAAACATTCAAAAGGGATTTATTTAAAGGTGTCACAATAGCTATGTCCAGGCATTTAGTCTTAAGGGAATTACAATTAAAAGAGGACACCTTTTTCCCAAGTTAAGGAGAATTTCTTTAAAACCAAGCATATTGCTAAATAGCAATATTATACTTGGTCAACAATAATTGGCAACAAAATAAGTTTAAACCCTGTAATATTCTGCCCAAACCAGTCCCAGATACTGTTTAATAACCAAGATGCAAACTAATTTTGTTGTAACAAGCCTAGACCAATTCTATCAAATGTGTCCTTGGTTAGATATCCAGTTTCATTTAACGTTTTGAAAGCTCGTTTGAGAGCCAGTCAAGTCCCTCATACAGACCAGTTCCTTGTGTAGCACAAGTGGCTTGAAAATACCATGTTCTGTTACGAAGAGACTGAAGACCTAATTTATCTGTCATTTCACTGATGGCCATAGCATTTTGCAAATCCTGTTTGTTCGCAAAAAGCAGCAACACTGCATCTCGCAACTCATCTTCCTGAAGCATTTTCTGCAGCTCTTCAGCTCCTTCCTGAATTCTTTCACGATCATTACTATCTACCACAAAAATAAGACCCTGGGTGTTTTGGAAGTAATGCCTCCAGAGAGGCCTAATTTTATCTTGTCCACCAACATCCCATACTGTGAAACAAATGTTCTTATATTCTACTGTTTCCACATTAAAACCAATGGTAGGAATGGTGGTGACTATCTCCCCTAACTTCAGTTTATACAGAATGGTCGTCTTGCCAGCAGCATCCAATCCAACCATCAAAAGGCACATCTGCTTCTTGCTGAAGAGACGGGAGAAAAGGGAGGAGATGGTGAGGCCCATGGCAGTAGTGGCACTTGCGATGGGCAGGAACAGAAGGGGTTTTGGGGCGTCCCGGGCCTTCTCCTTTCACGTTCCCAACAAACTGAGCAAAGGAAGAAGAGCTGAGGGAGAAAGAGGGCGGCAGAAGCGGCTCGCTAGCTGGCGTGTCAGACGAAGCTCTGGAACAAGAACTAACGGGGCGCTGCTCGACGACTAGGAGTTGATCTCATTTACAATCACACCCAAAACCGTAAGATACCTAGGAATAAATGTCAATCCTACCTAGAGCAATCTACACATTCAATGCAATCCTTACCAAAATACCAACCACTTTTTTCAAAGAAATGGAACAAATAATCCTAAAATTTGTATGGAACCAGAAAAGACCCTGAATAGCCAAAGGAATGTTGAAAAAGACAAGCAAACCTGGCGGTATCACAATTCCAGACTTCAAGCTCTATTACAAAGCTGTAATCGTCAAGACAGTATGGTACTGGCACAAAAACAGACACATAGATCAATGGAACAGAATTCAGAGCCCAGAAATGGACCCTCAACTCTATGGTCAACTCATCTTCAACAAAGCAGGAAAGCATGTCCAATGGAAAAAAGACAGTCTCTTCAACAAATGGTGTTGGGAAAGTTGGACAGCCACATGCAGAAGAATGAAATTGGACCAGTTCCTTACACCACACACAAAAGTAGATTCAAAATGGTTGAAAGACCTAAATGTGAGACAGGAGTCCATCAACATCCTAAAGGAGAACACAGGCAGCAACCTCTTCAATCTCAGCCGCAGCAACTTCTTCCTAGAAACGTCGCCAAAGGCCAGGGAAGCAAAGGCAAAAATGAACTATTAGGACCTCATCAAGATAAAAAGCTTTTGCACAGCAAAAGAAACAGTCCACAAAACCAAAAGACAACAGACAGAATGGGAGAGGATATTTGCAAATGACATATCAGATACAGGGCTAGTATCCAAAATATAGAAAGAATTCAACACCCAAAGAACAAATAATCCAATCAAGAAATGGGCAGAAGACATGAACAGACATTTTTCCAAAGAAGACATCCAAACGGCCAACAGACACATGAAAAAGTTATCAACATCGCTCAGCATCAGGGAAATCCAAATAAAAACCTCAGTGAGATATCACCTCACACAAGTCAGAATGGCTAAAATTAACAAGTCAGGAAATGACAGACGTTGGCGGGGATGCGGAGAAAGGGGAACCCCCTTACACTGGTGGTGGGAATGCAAGCTGGTGCAGCCACTCTGGAAAACAGTATGGAAGTTCTTCAAAAAGTTGAAAATAGAGCTACCATACGATCCAGCAATTGCACTACTGGGTATTTACCCCAAAGATACAAATGTAGGGATCCGAAGGGGTACGTGCACCCCGATGTTTATAGCAGCAATGTCCACAATAGCCAAACTGTGGAAAGAGTCAAGATGTCCATCAACAGATGAATGGATACAGAAGATGTGGTATAGATACACAATGGAATATTATGCAGCCATCAAAAGGAATGAGATCTTGCCATTTGCAACGATCTAGATGGGACTGGAGGGTGTTATGCTGAGTGAAATAAGTCAATCAGAGAAAGACATGTATCATATGACCTCACTGATATGAGGAATTCTTAATCTCAGGAAACAAACTGAGGGTTGCTGGAGTGGTGGGGGGTGGGAGGGAGGGGGTGGCTGGGTGATAGACATTGGGGAGGGTATGTGCTATGGTGAGTACTGTGAATTGTGCAAGACCATTGCATCACAGATCTGTACCTCTGAAACAAATAATGTAATATATGTTAAGAATAAAAAAAAAAGAAGAAGATAGCAGGAGGGGAAGAATGAAAGAGGGGAAATCGGAGGGGGAACGAACCATGAGAGGATGGACTCTGAAAAACAAACTGAGGGTTCTAGAGGGAAGGGGGGGTGGGAGGATGTGTTAGCCTGGTGATGGGTATTAAAGAGGGCATGTTCTGCATGGAGCACTGGGTGTTATGCACAAACAATGAATCATGGAACACTACATCAAAAACTAATGATGTAATGTATGGTATATGGTGATGTAATGTATGGTGATTAACATATCATAATAAAAAAAAAGTAAAAAAAAAGTTCAAGTTGCTCAGGAGTAAACTTCCTATAATAAAGCATTTTGTGAGTAAAAAAAGAAATCATCAAAAGAAAAACTGGAAAATTCACAAATACATGGAAATTGTACAGTACAATGTTAAGCAACCAATGGATCAAGGACAAAATCACAAGGGAAATTAGAAATACTAAGACAAATGAAAACAATACCACAACATACTAAAAGCTATGTCATGCATCAAAAGCAGTGTTCACAAGGAAATTATAGCTGTAAGAAATTACAATTAAAAATACATTTGTGGGGGTGCCTGGGTGGCTCAGTCATTAAGCATCTGCCTTCAGCTCAGGTCATGATCCCGGGGTCCTGGGATCGAGCCCCACATCGGGCTCCCCGCTCAGCAGGAAGCCTGCTTCTCCCTCTCCCACTCCCCCTGCTTGTGTTCCCTCTCTTGCTGTGTCTCTCTCTGTCAAATAAATAAATAAAATCTTAAAAAATAAAAAATAAAAAATAAAAATACATTTGGGGTGCCTGGTTGGCTCAGTCAGAAAAGCCTCCAACTCTTGATCTTAGGGTTGTGAGTTCAAGCCCCACATTGAGTGTAGAGATTACTAAATAAATAAACTTAACAAAATACATTTACCAAACCAATAACCACATTTACCTTTACAGAACTAGAAAAAGAAGAGCAAACTAAACCCAACATGAGAAGGACAGAAATAATAAATATTAGGGTGCAGATTAAAGAATATAAACATAAAAATTAGAATTAAGAAAACCAACGTTGGTTCTTTGAAAAGATCAACAAACTTGATAAAAGTGTCACAAGCCTGAACAAGAAAAAAAAAGATCCAAACTTCTAAATTCAGAAAATAAAGTAGGTCATTACAAAAGATCTTACAGAAATAAAAAGGATTATAAGAAAATACGATGAACAACTACATGTCAACAAATGAGATAACCTAGATGAAATGGATAAATTCCTAGAAATACACAAACTACTAAAATTTATTTAGAAGAAACAGAAATTTTGAACAGACCTATTACAAGCAAAAAGATTTAATCACAAATTAAAAAAAAAAAAAAAACCCAGGACCAGTTGGTTTCCTTGTTGAATCCTACTAGACATTTTAAAAAAGAATTAACACATCCTTTCCAAACTCTTCACAAAAAGTAGAAGAGAGGTGAAACTTCCTACTTCTTTGTATGGAGCCAACATTACCCTGATACCAAAGTTAGATAAAAATATCACAAGAAAAGAAAACTACAGAGAGTGATAGTAGAAAGATGGCAGAATAGAAAGACCTTCCTTATACAAACACATCAATTCAACAACAATGCGTGGAAAAATTCCCCTTGAGGGATATCCAGAAACAAATTGATAGCCTCCTGCATCCTGGGTGAATACAAAATCAGACTCATCAAAGCTGGTAGGGAGATTTGGAGCATCTTACCAGAATATCTACCCCTGGCACAGCAATATACAATTAGGCAGAGATCCCTTAGCTTCCAGCTTCTGCCACGGGAGGGAAGGATTTGGTTCAAGTATCCAGTGCCCCAATTTTTCTGAGGGTCCTCTCCAGAGGACTGTCTTTTGTCTTGCCAATCTTGGATCTCAGACCATCCTCCATAGTTTAAATGCCTGAGGAAGAATGGAGATAGCTGCTCCCCCTGGCTCACCAAAGAGTGAGCAGACAAAAATCACAGCTGACTGCTTTTCCTGGGGAGTACAAGAGTTGCTCTGCTGTCTAATGCCACAACTCTTCCAGTGGCTACCCAAAGGACTGGTTTCTGACTTGCCTGCCTCGGAGTGCTGATGACACCTGGCATAATCTTGCTCTACAGAAACTAGTAAGAACAGGGATTGAGATCTGGGATGGCAGTCACTATAGTACCCCACCCCCAGCCCTGCCTCCAAGTTCAGCACAGAGTGAGTGAATGAAAAAGCCCAGATCCCAGGTTCTTCCCAGAGTGGGAAAGAATTAGACTGAATGTCCAACAATCCAATTTTCTGAGAAGTGCCAAAGGAATTGATTTTAGTCTTGCTTGTCATGGTGCATTAAAAGAATGTGGCATACCCTAGATAACTGGGAGTTGCAAAGAACAAAGAAAGTGAGCTGGACTAGAACATGGGTTAAAGAAGCTCCCAGAATCTCTGGTTGAGCTAATTGGTAAAGTTTTCTCCCGTATAAGGCCAGTCTGTGAAAACTGGGAGGGATACCTGGTTTTTCTAATGTGTAAGAGTCAAGAAAATGAAGAATTAGGCAAAGGTGTTCCCATATACAGAATACATAAGGGTGTCTGGGTGGCTCAGTCAGTTAAGCATCCAACTCTTGATTTTGGCTCAGGTCATAATCTCAGGGTCATGAGATGGAGCCCCACATCCAGCTCCATGCTCAGCAAGGAGTCTGCTTTAGATTCTCTCCCTCTCCTCTAACCCTCCCCCTGCACCGCTCACATTCTCTCTCTTAAAAAAAAAAAAAATACATGCCGAATAGGATATATAAAGAAATTTTGAAACTTAACATCAAAAAGATAAACAACTTAATTTTTAAAATAGGCAAAGGGTTTGAATAGATATTTTTCCAAAGAAGATAAACCAATGACTAATAAGCAATGAAAAGATACTTAACATTATTATTCATTAACAAAAAGTAAATCAAAACAACGAATAACACATCATATCCACTGATTATAACCAAAAGATGGACAATAAGAAGTGTTCGTATGGATGTGGAGAAATTGGGACTCTTATAACTTGCTGGTAGGAATGTAAAATGCGACACCACTTTTGGAAATGGATTGGCAGTTCCTCAAAATGCTAAACATAGAGTTTACCATATGACCCAGCAATTCTCCACCTAAGTATATTGTCAAGAGAGTTCAAAACATATATATACACAAAAATATGTACAAGAATATTCATATCATTATTTATAATAATTAATAAGTAAAAACAAGAAAAATACCCATTAACTGATGACAGATAAGCAAAATAAGGTATAGCATGCCACAGAATATTATTTGGCCATAAAAAAGGAATGAAGCACTGATGCCAGTTACAACATGGTTGAGCCCTGTCAACTTTATGCTATATG